AACATCTCTGAGGAGTCAGGGTCCAACATCTCTGAGGAGTCAGGGTCCAACATCTCTGAGGAGTCAGGGTCCAAACATCTCTGAGGAGTCAGGGTCCAACATCTCTGAGGAGTCAGGGTCCAACATCTCTAGTGAGGTTCTTGGAAAAATTAATGAGATTGTGTCGTTTTCTTTCCTTTAGTGTTTCTGTAAAAACAAGTGAACCAAAGGAAACATGTTAAAGATCTTTGAAACGCCTCATTTATTCTGTTTTTTTATGACTTCATCGTTAAAGCTCAAACTCAACCAGCCAATCAGAGCAGACCATGTGTCATACAGGGATCTTAAAGGGACAGGACAGCAGTTTGTAGATAAATGACTGTAAATGATCAGAACTGCACACAAAGTTGTCAGGTTCAGAAGAAAACAGCATCAAATCTTATAAATCTGAGTCTAAACTGATCAGACTACCAGTCCCAGATTAGTAAGCTCCAGTCAGTGAGCAGAGGTCAAAGGTCACAGCTGAGCCCGGCCCACCGGTTCTGTCTCTGGGTCGTCGTGTCATCCTGTTTATTCAGAGCTCTGCTGTCAACCTGCTGATGTGTTCCTGCTAATTAACCTGCTTCTCGTTAGTGGTCCGGGTCTGCAGGGACTGAGCCGGGACCAAGCGGGACCTGGTGTCCCAGTTCAGGGACTGCAGCCTCCGTCACGCTCATCTGTTTTCTTTTGGACTCGAGCTTCGTGTTTGCCTTCACACACCCAGCCTCTCTGCTGGATTAGACCCCTCGTTGTTGTTTCCTGTTTCTGTTAAAGATCAGCAGTGAAACCAGACCGAACTGAGAAATCAGATCAATAAAAACACAGCAGCTCTGTAGTGGTACGGGTTTACACTTACTGAATATTCCTGCACAGTTTGTGGGTTCTGCAGCCATTTCTATCATTTCTACTCAGTTTGTTTCCCTCCTGCAGCTGGGTCTTATCAGACAGGAAACGGAGTCGTCTGACCTCCAGTCAGAGGAGAGCGTCGCTCGCTGCCGACTGAAACTGATGAGGCACAAACTCACTTTCATCTCGCTTCTTTCGGCTGATGCAGCACCTTTCAAGCCCGACCTCTGAGCCGCTGCTCGGGTCCAGAATACAAAAACCTGAAGGAAAGATTAAACGGGTCCGGTGTGCTGATACCACAGATGCTCTGTGAAACCAACAAATACCAAAAATGACCAAATAAACTGCCTTAGATCCTGTTTTCAGCTGCACTCATTCATACCAGCCTGAAGGTGCTGGATTTCAGTTTCCTACAGAATATTGTGGATTATTTGAGTAAAATCTCAGACTAGGATTAAACTCTAAAGAAATAATTTATAATTTTAGGTGTAAAAGTTATAAATATTTGGAGCAAACCTTGTTTAAACTCATGAATGTGATGTTAAAATGTTTAAAGATGTTCTGTGGAAAATAAAAGCTAAAGCTCTAACTCAGTGACAGTGGCTCAGTTCTCCAGCAGGTCCCAGGACCAGGTTCAGGACCAGGTTCAGGACGTTAAATCATGTCTGCTCTGCTGGGTTGGGTCTGAAGTTGGTCTTGAAGTCAGCACATCGATAGAATCCGGAGGACAGAGTGCTGAGCCTGAAGTCATCAATTGTTCTGATCTCCTTCATGTCTGATCCACTCGTTTGTTTATTCTGTTTCATTTGGGCTCTCGGGTCCTGAAACCTTTACCTGACCTGCAAACACCCACACAAAAGACCCCACCTGTGCCTGAGTCCAACAGAACCCTTAAACCCAGTCTGAACCCAGCATCCCTCTGACAGGAGGACTAAAGAGTCCAAACACCGGCTGAGGTCCTCACAAAGATAAAACTGTACAAAGGGAAGAGGGGTGTTGGGTTCAGGAGGTAATCTGAGATTTATTTCCTCTGAAAGCCTCAGACTAAAGACTATTGATTGGTCCTGCAGGGTCCTAAAGACCACCATTCTGAGACCGAAGTGTCTGATGTGACCTTTGACCTCAAACCAGAGACACAATCTGGTTCTTAGAGGAGTTTCTGGACTTGACTGATCCAGGATCCTAAAACCTGAACCAGGTGAGTTCAGAGTAACTTCAGTCTAATTTAAATATCCAGGAATAATTGTTACCCGTCAGGGTTTTACAGTAAATCATCTGTTGATGAGAAAAGATGGAGATGTTTTCATTTTCATCAAAACTTTTAAAAATACTCTGAAGAAATATTTTAATTTGATCTGAATCAAGACGACTCTCAGATACTACCATCTCCTACCAACTACTACCATCTCATACCAACTACTACTATCTACTACCAACAACTACCATCTACTACCAACGCTTATCTACTACCAACAACTACCATGTACTACCAATGCTTATCTACTACCAACAACTACCATCTACTACCAACTACTACCATCTACTACCAACAACT